TCGATTGGGTTTAAATCCGGTGAGTTTGGTGGCCAGGGGAGTACAATAAATTCATCCTGGTGCTCTTCGAACCACGCACATACACTGCGAGCTGTATGACACCTCGCATTGTCCTGCTGGTAGATGCCATCATTCTGAGGAAAAATCATTCGCATGTGCATGTAGGGGTGGACATGGTCCGCAAGGACAAATGCGTACTTGTGCTGATCCATCATGCCTTCCACAATGATGAGTGCACCCAGTGAATGAAAGGAAAACATTCTCCAAACCGTAATGCTCCCTCCTCCAGCCTTCCGGCAATTGTTGCAGGGTACTTGCTTTCAGACGTATCACGCCTTATACGCCAACGTCCATCTGTCCGATGGAGCATAAAACGCGATTCATTGGAAAAAGTACCGGTTGTCACTCTGTGGACGTCCAGTTGCGGTTCTGGCGTGCAAAATCCAACTTTCGTCGCCAGTGAACAGCAGTCAGCATAGGTGCATTAACCAGGCGTCTGCTACGGAGGCGCATGCGCAGCAACGTTCGGTGAACAGTTGTTGAGGATACACTCTTGGTAGCCCCTTGGTTCATCTGGGCGGTCAGTTGCTCAACAGTTGCACATCTGTTCGCCTGAACGCATCTCCGTAACCTTCGTTCGCCTCTGTCATCTTTTTTTGCCCCTCCAGACGTGGACACGTACCTAGGTTTGCAAAACCCTTACCCTTATACTTATAGTCCAAGTCTGGCTACCAGTCCAGCTCGCCACAACCCGGCGAGCTAGCCTGATCAGTGAGAATTTATTTAAAAATAATTTTGCATATTACATAATACATATAAAAAATTTTACAATAAAAAACAACACTGAAAGTCTTGCAGAAGACAATGAAGTGCAACACATTTGCTTCAGAAAAAACAATGACTGAAACAATAAATGAAGAAAAAAGAACATGAACAATAAAAAAAAATGAATTTTGTTATATACATAAAAATTTAAAAAAGAGAAAAAAAAAGAAAAAGAAAGTGTACATAAATATAATGTATCATGTTAGACAAAAAAAAAAATTTTTTTTTTTAAATATGTGAATATATATATTTTTTATTAAGAAAATTTTTTTTTTTTTTTGTAGGCAGACCATAATCTTAATGAGGTCAACATTAAAATTTTATTAATTTATCATTAATGGATAAAAAATGCATAGTGTTTTTAAGTTTAGTATTTAAAGTCTTAGTTAGGAAGTTTTTCTGCCATTTTTATAGGTTATATCAGGGATGGGGAAACTACGGCCCGCGGGCCAACTGTGGCCCGCCGGAAGGTTTTATCCGGCCCGCGGACAGAATTTTAACTTGCCGATCCGTGGCGAATGTAAACAATATACATTATACGTCCATTTTTTTGTCTACTTTGTTTAAAGCTATTTTTGTTCTTTCTTTTTTAACAAAGTACCTACTGATGACCTTTTTACTTTCTCTATTTTTCTTTGACAAGACATAAATTGATGGAAATAGTTAGCACAGACAGCTTCAATTAGTAAAATGTTGAAAGCAGAAGTTCCTTATAGAACAGCCGTAGATAAGCTCCAACTAGTGTTTGTCTTTCTCGAGGAGCTGACATATGGAATCTAATATAGGTGAATTGTACTTCACATGAGGTAGACTACACATTTTTAAGTTCCAACGAGCGGATTTTTCTGCCGGGGCGAGTTCTAACATTATTTACTGCGCATGGAAAGATTGCACACATACAACGTCATTGTAAATAATGGTGAAATTATTAAATGTATAAAATGGCTACTGCCTTTTTGAGTTATTTGTAAACATTTTTTATCCCAAAATGGCAACTAAAAATCGCAAAGTTGATGTAGAGTGACATGCACTCAATGATGAATTGACTTTATTTTATTTCAGAAGTTTTTACTAGGCCCACCAAACTTTTTTTTCTAGAGTTTTGGCCCACGACCAAAAAAGTTTGCCCATCCCTGGGTTAGATTGATTTGGCGGACGGGTATGCCAAGAGGCAGTGTAAATACATTCAGTAAGATAATGCTCCGGAGTGCCCAGTTGGCTGCGCTTCTGTCATCTATGGGCCGTGGTGCACCACATGCGCCACGACGCTTGTTTTGTACAGTGCCATTTTGCCATGCACGGTCTACTTTTACCACGGTGGCATGCGAACAGTTCATAAAATCAGCCGTTTCCGAAATGCCTCCACTCTTGACCGGAAAGCCAATAATCATGCCCTTTTGGACGTCTAATAAATTGCTACGTTTCTGCATTACGTCAACGATAGAAATGCTTTCCGATGCCCTAGGACATCCTATACTCATACATCCTACACTCCACTGTGATGTGCAGCCACCTGCTTTCTGTGATTGGTTATTTCACGTTGACGTCAAAAGTAGGTTGTGGTCACATTAATGTGACTGGACTGTGTATATAGATTATAGTTTAGACATTGTTTATATTTCTTGAATTATTTGAGGATTTATGAATTTTAAATAGGAAATGTTTTTTTTTTGTTTAATTCTTTTCCTAAAAAAAATCACCTAAGCTACAAACAATTTAAAAACAAAATAAATTATAAACAGTTTTTTAAAAATTCGTGTTTTACTCCACTCTTCAAATTTTTCATGTTATACAAAAACATTGTAACGGGGTATCAAATGCATGAAGCTAACTGCTGAAAAAAACGATGGAAAAAGAACTTATATTTACAATGAAATGTACACAAATAAATTGTATCAACAAGTGATTATTTAAATGCACGCTAAGAAACTAGCCCATTGCATTGACATCGAAGTTAGAGTAATGGAGTTTTCAAAATTGCGTGGAAAAACATAACAACAATCGAAAAAAAATTTGATTCAACTTAAGATCAAAACAGTACAAATAAAATGCGTCAACAAGTAATTATTTAAATGCATAATTTAAAATTCACATGTCATAATAAAAATCAGAATTTTTAAAACCATTAGGCAATACATCGCAAAACAGCAAAATAATTATTGAAAAATTTGCAATGAAATAGGCAAAATAGAAAACAGCTGTAAAAATTTACATTGAAATCAACACAAATAAAGCACGTCAAAAAGTGATAAATTACATGCGCAATTTATAACTCAAGAGATCGCAATAAATGTGTCTGGATTTTAAAAAAGACACAGGAATTGATATTTAGAAATGCTAAAAAGAAAAGAAAAAAACTATAGAAATATAGATTAGATTACTTATAAAATCGGCAAAAATAAAGCGAGCCAGAAAGTGAATCTCAAAAGTCAGTGAAAGCCAGTCTCAAATTTGAAATTTGTGCATCGGAATATTGTATGAAAATATTGGGATTTTTAAAATCATGCAGAATTTCGCAGGAATAACCGTCGAATAGATGATCTAGAAACAACATAAATATATAATAGAATCTATGCAAATTGAGCATGTCAAAAAGTGATGACTGAAATGTACAGTTCAAAATTTTTGCCATTTTATATTTCTAAATTTTTCTTTTTCTTCTTAATTGTAATCAGAAGCCCCGCGGACGGCACATCAATAGTTGAGGGGCTGTAGGTTGTACATCTCTATCTAATACTTTGAACACTGACAGGGTATCTGCTGCATTTTAGAATTTCAAATTCATGACTAATTTCAAGAGCTTTTCATGACTTAACGAAGTTACTATTTTCTCCGACAAAAACACAACAATATTCTAAAGATACTTTTCTTATTCATCGGAAAGGAAAGAAACACTCCTGATTTTTCTGTTCTCATTTTGGAATAAAAAAATTCGCCAATGACTGGCTTGCTTCAGCTATAATTTTAAATTGATAAAATAAAAATAAAAAATAACAACAAAAATTCAGAAATCACAGAAGTTTAAAAGATATTTCACTCTAGAAATGATGTTTTTTCTTTCATTTTTTGAAAGAATACCATTATTTTTAAAGAACATGACACAAACATTTTATATTTTAATAAAATATGACTGTGAGTGAGGGATTTTGCAACAAATTCAGACATTCGAATCACCATGAAATTGGGTGGGTAAATACCATTTCAAAAATTTGAATTTCGGCGACCTAAATCCATGACTTTCCATGATTTTTTTTTAAAAAATAGCATTGCTCAATACCAAATATAATGACTCTCCAGGTGGGCAGATACCCTGATAAAAAAAAAGCCCTTTTTGCTATGCATATGTCACCCCAAAAATAATGTACAAACTTTTAAGCTCTTGTAATTTATTGTTCTATTCATTAACTAGTAATTATTCATTAAGTATTCTAGTGATTTTTTCAAATTTTTTAAACAATTTTCTATAAAAAAAAATTAGATTAAATATCTTTGAGTTTCTGTCATATAACTTAAAACTATAGGGAAGATTTTTATATTGCGATCTGAGGCAGAATAATCTTTAAGTCTTGGAAACTTCTGTGCAGCAGCACAAGTAACTGAATTTTTTTTTAAATTTCTCTTTCTGATTAATTAATATTTGAAATGCATACAATAGCATTTGTGAAATATTCTCTATTAGATTTATATTTAATCATTATTAATGAATTTTTGAATTGATATTTTTTAACTTAAAAAGTCGTCAATTTTAAAAGAGGGCACAAAACCGAAGTTCAGGCCCTTGCCCCAGTTTCACCTTAGTCGGGTCCTGCATTAAACATAAAAAAATATACTTAATACATCATTTAAGCACATAACAATCTCATAAAAAACACATAATTTAGAATTTAAGTAAACATTTCTTCTTCCAAACAGAGAAATAATTGGAGATTAAAAGGAATTACAAATTATATTTAATTTTGTTTATACGGAAAAATTAAACAAAATATACATAGTTTTAAAAAAATTGTTTTTTTAGATAACATGTTTTGAAGGCAAAGCAAGGAATAACGGCATACTTTTACATCTTAAAGCAAGTGATAAGAATCTGCATAATTCCCTCATGAAATAAGCAATAGATGGGAATTATTGAAAAAGTTTAGATTTAATATAAAAAATTTAATAGTAAATTAACTCACCAGTACCGTCCTGTACATAAGAATTAGCAGTCGCCATGGCTTCGTTATCCATCTATAAATTTCTTTATTTATGTTGTTACAAAATAATAAATAACTTCAACTTTAGTTTCTAAAAAATACGTTCTCGGTGGTTANTCTGGAGTAGAACGTGCTCCATCACCTGAAGGTAATATGAATAATTTTTTTTACTGGTTATTTGCATTATAACTTGTAAACTTTGATTTAAACCATAAGTGTTTCACTTACAGTGGTAGATGAAAGTGATATTGCCAGATATTATGCAAATTTTGATGAAGATTTCTTTCATCATTGTGAAAAAGAGCTTAGAAAAATCAATACCTTCTTTTCTGGTGAGTCATCGAATGAATCATTGTGAATGAATGAGTGATCGAATGAATGAATGAGTTGTTTTTACTCAGTTTTGCTATTTTTTGATATTTTTCTTCCTATTATTCTAGTTATTAAACTTAACTCTTATATTTAAAATCTCTGATGTACATAACATAATTTTATATACTTATACATTGATATACCTAAATTTATTTAAATTGTGTGTTGAATCGCATTTTTTTTATTATTATTATCCAGTTTCATTACATATCTATTGAATCTTTAGTTAATTACTGTTCTTATCATTATTTTTAATTTTACATCACAACAACTTATAAAATGAAACTCTCAAAAAATTACTTGGGTTTTGATTCGCGCAAAAAAAAAATATTTTATCTTTTTTTTTTTTTTAAATATATCTATATAAAATATGTTCAAATTATTATATGCAAACTATATAAAGTCATACTCCAAGACCTTGATCTACTTCTGCAGGAAATTTTGAGTGAAGAGAATTTTTTTTTCTTCAGAAATGTTTAGTAAGTGTATTAGAGAGTATTTTAGACTTGGTTGTGGACATCGACCACCTGGTACATTTCACGCCTATGACGTCATCAAAGATGGTGGTCTCTCAGTCACAGAGCTTATGATATTTATGTTTATACTTGATTAACTTGCATAAAATTTTAGTTAGTATTGTATAATTACTGTTTATAAGTTCAATAACAATGTGTAGGTGTAAAAAATCCATTAACAAATAAATTTGGTGCCAAGCCATTAACAAGTAAATTTGGTGCCAAGCCATTAACAAGTAAATTTGGTGTGGTAGAGCATGTATTAAATAAAATCAGTTTGTGGTTTATCGAAGGTTTGAACATTCTCCTAGAGTCTTTAATAAAACCCAAAGCTTAGACGCAACAGTGTTCAAACAAATTTCGCAAAAATATACCCATTTCATGTACTTCTCAATCCATTATATAATTTGGTGACAAACGAAATGACTTCACAAGATTTAAGAGTGGTGTTGATTTTCATTTTGACCTATTGCTTTCTCCTTGCGAATAGTAATAGTTTAAGAATTCTACTTGGCTGTTATGTTTATCTATTTATGTCAGGGTTTTGGTTTTGGACGTCCTAAACTGGGTAAAACTGTCCTAAACTGTCTTAAAGTGTCCAAAACCTTGAACTTTGGTAAAAGGTAAAAATTCTATAGGTGTAACCATTGTACACATAATAATTACATGTATCAATAAATATTTGATATTTTTTATACAATTTACTATAACTTATTAAAAGAAAATAATATAATATAATAGGAAAAGGTTTATAATTTTTGAAGCTCCACAATTCATTGAACAACAAAAGTGAATACCTAATCCTTTAAATATAAATATGCTTTTAATACTGATAAATAATATTTTTGCATAAGGATAAATATGGCAATATTAAAAAATAATAATTTTTCTTAAAAAAAATACTAAATTTGTTCAAAAATTAACCTTTTATTTTTCACAATATTTTTTTAAAAAAATGTTATAATTTCTGCATCACAGGATGATAAAAAAGACATCTATTTTAAAAAAAAATGTTTTTAAATATAAATATATTAGTTTAAATTGAAAATACAAAATAACTGAAAAATGTATTAACAGTTTTGAAGGGCATAACATCAGTTTCAGTTACTGACACTGGTGATGTATCACCACTATGCAAAAATAATTGAACATGAATGAAATAAAAGTATTCTTGAATAGTAGTACTATAGATAAATAAACCTGTTTATGATGAGCCAAGCACTTAGTCCCTAATATTTTAACCTGTACGGCAAGGCCAAACTTTAATTATGTACTATTGAATGAGAGGACCAATTGAACTTGATTGCTGATTAATCATCATTTGTTTAAATTGAAGAGTCAAACAATATTAATAAAACATTATACTTTTAAAAACAAATATTCTCTAGTATATTTAATTATCAATATGTTATTAGTTCTATGTTTATTTTACCTCTTAAATATTGTTCAGATAAAATTGTGACATAATTTGAGTAAAAGGGTTTTGGACAGGACGGTTTAAACCGTGGATTAATCCATTCTGTCCTAAACCTTGCCAACCCTGATTTATTTTGAACATAATTATTACAAGTTTTTATCTAAGAAACAAATCAAAAGAATTAGCACCTGCTGAGACCAGCCACTGTTACCAGAATTGCAAGATTTTTCTGCACCTACATATTCTTAGACTGTTATTTAATTTATACATAGTAATTAAAGCTTACTAACTCAACTTTTATGCAAGTATGTCAAATATAGACATAAATATCAGCATTTCTGTGGTGGAGCAATTGCCATCTTCGATGATGTTAAAGTTGTAAAATGTACCAGGTTGTCCACCAAAGTACAAAATGCTTTTTAATGTACCTACTTAATATTTCCAAAAAAAAAAAAAAAAANAAAAAAAAAAAAAAAAAAAAAAAAATCTGCATACCCTAACCTTTCCTACAGAAGTGCCTGAGGCTTAAGACTGTAGTATTATTCTTAATCGATAATGAATCCATTAAGCAAGATGATTATAAATTATTTCTTATAAGTTGGATGGCAGCAGTCTGTATGAAAAATAAAACAGCTATGGTGAATAAATATTTGCTAACCTTCTGAATAAGTCTCTCTTGTATTAAAGTGATGAAACAACACTTCAAGACTAATATGAGTGAACAATATTTTTTAATTCAAAAATCTAATTATCATTAAATTAATAATTATAATTATCAATTTAAAATTCCATTTGTGATAACTGGTTTCCTAAGAGCTATTGTTTAGTAAAAAGTAACTTCACTGTTCAAGTCGACGTATAATATATATATTCTTCAGTTATTTCTTGTTTTATATTTTGATTTACTGACCTCCTTCAGATTCAACATGAGCCCTACTGTTTGTGGCTCCACTTTGACCTTGCAGCTTTCAATAGCACTGCTCTGAATAATTGATTCTTCCTCAAAGTCACAACGCTTTGCGGCTCCCCATTAACTAAGTTCATGTCGAAGATTAAATATAAACATGGCACTGCACATGACATGGTGCGTAGCATAAAGACATGGCGCGTAGCATTTTTAAAAAGTGCTTAAAGGTGCTTATTTTTCTTTTTTTAAAAGCCAAAGGTGCTTTTTTTAATCGGGTTTTGTAAAAAGTGCTTAATTTTCCCTTTTCGAAAATGAGATTTTATTTCTTTACCATCTCGATTTTCGGCATGCAATATGCAAACTCGAGGTTTTCACATTTTTCTATTCAATGTTTTTGCAATTCATTCATACACAATTCATTTCGGCATACCGTCTCTCCTCAGCGTATGAAGGCACCAATCATTTTGCTTGTTTGATGAAATACTTGCGGATCCGCTTGTGCATATACTAAGCTGGGTTCAGTTAAATTATTGCACTCTCGTGCGCAACTTTGCAGCATTTTGCAAGATATTTTCAACTTCAGGCTTCATTTTTCCACCTTCTGAAATCAAACCGAAAAATCTCTTCATCTTTTTATGTTGGCTGATATAATCAAGAAACGAGTTCTTTGTCAGAAACTAGCTATTTTATCATGATTGTGTAAAGTCTTAGAAAATTATTTTGTATTTTATTAATGTATATAGTGCTTAGAAATATTTTTTAGTGCTTAAAAAATACTTAAATAGGGCTTATTTTTTGTTGAAAGATTTGGCTATGCACCCTGAAAGAGCAAATTGAAAGAACTATATGATATGCTGGCATTGTTTTGAAATAGAATGTTAGATATGAATGTTAACAAATTATGCATTAAAAATTTTTGTATTTTACATATTATACTTGTTTAGTTTTATCAGCAATTTATATATTTACCTATAACTGTTAATCTATATTATTATTAATTAATGTAAATATTTCAAACTGCTTGGTTTTTAATTAAATTTTTGTCTTAAATCTGTAGAAAAAATTGCTGAAGCAACTCGCAAGTCTGGGAACCTCAAAAGTGAGCTGCACAATGCTACACATAGCGATGAGGTTGTTGCCACTGGAACTGGTAAAAGGTTAGATTATTTTTAGCAAAAAAATAATTTATATTTTTGAAGTTAAATCACTTGTTTTGATTTTTTTTTACTTTACACCTACCTTAATTATCCTTTTATTTCAAAATTTTCAAACAGTTTGTCTTGCTTTTAAATATTATAAATTATATATTTAATAAGCAAAAATTTTTTCCTGTTCTACTATAGAGTTGTTGATAATTATTTGCAAAAGTATAATTTTTAATTAATGTTCATGATTTAATGAAATGATTAAAGCAATGCTTTTCAAAGTTTGAGATTTACAGTATTAAAAGTTATTAAAAAAATGTCCTATTTAAGAAAATGCATTAATTTGATTAATACGAATTAATATTCCTTGAATTTTACTTTAGCTTAATTTCTATACAAAATTATGAAAATATATATTGTTCAAAAAAATTTTTAATAAGAAAGACCATGATTTAAAAAATAATTAATGGGAAAGATTTCTTATTATTTCCATTAGTGAATTTTGGAACATTTAATTGACCAATGTGTTTTTCATTAAAATTATGAATGCTGAAAGCAGCTATTAATCTTAATATTATTTCTATGAAGTCTGTAAAGATGTTTATTGCAAATTGTAGAATTTCTTCGTAGAATCTACATTTTATGTTATTTATATTCAAAATTTCTCTTTCAGATTTGCTGTGAAAAAGGCGTTGAAAAGAAATGTGCAATATCGGAAAATGCATGAGTTACGGCTGGCATTTAGTGAATTTTACCTTAGCTTAATTTTATTACAGAACTATCAAAATTTAAATTTTACTGGCTTTAGAAAAATATTAAAGAAGCATGATAAGGTAATCATTATACTTTTTTTAAATATTTTTTTCATATGAAATTATATTTGTTAATCATCAAAATTCAATATTTGTCTGTGTCTTATTTTCCAGTTGTTAGGAACCGGCAGTGGAGCCAATTGGCGGCAACAATGGGTTGATATTGCTCCTTTTTATGTCAATAAAGATATTGATAAATTGATACATGACACAGAGGTTGGTAAATTTGTTTCAAAATTTCTATGATTTAATATTCTATATTATGCATAAGACATAGTGCCTAGTGTTTTTAAAAAGTGTATAAGGATGCGTATTTTCGATTTTCATTATTTAAAAGCCCTTAAAGGTGCTTTTTTCATTGGGTGTTTTTAAAGAGTGCTTAATTTTTCCTTTTCGAAACTTAGATTTTTTCTTTAACGTGTCTATTTTTGCCATATATTATGCGAAAGCGTGATTTTCGCATTGTTCTATTCAACGTTTTCACAATTCATACAACCTCAATCCATTTCAGTGTACCGTCGGTCCATAGCGTATGAAAGCGCCAATCATGTTACATGTTTGATGAAATTCTTGTGAGTCCATATGTGCAAATATACTGAGCTGGGTTCGGTGAGAATTTTGCACACTCATGTGCAACTCTGTTGCATTTTGCAAGATATCCTCAATTTCAAGCTTCTTTTTCCACCTTCTGATATCGAACTGAAAAATCTCTTGATCATTTTATAATGGCTAATATAATATATCACTATATAATAAGTTCTTTATCAGAAACTGGTTATTTTATCATGACCATGGAAAGTTTAGTTTTTGAAAGTCATTTTGCATTTTGTTAATGTATATAGTGCTTGAAAATAAATTTTGAGTGCTTAAAAAGCACTTAAAAGTTGCTTATTTTTTGTTGAAAGATTTGGCTACGCACCCTGATATACAATTGTGTAATATAGAAATTCATTATATAAATCTTCTACTCTCTAGCATTATTGAACATTATTTGTCTTTTTTTTCTAAATTATCTCATTATTATTACTGCTGGTGCAAATTAGGATTGAAGGTTTTGTTGCAGTAATATATAATTTTTTTATGTATTTATGATGCAATTATATTATAACATATTTTAATGATTTGTTTCTTTTTAGTTTCATCTATTATTTTTATTTTCTAGAATATAGTTACCAGGCATTTAGAGGGTGGTGATCGCCAAAAAGCTATGAAACGTCTCAGAGTTCCTCCTTTAAATGATCAGGTTAGTGTTTTGTTTTATTAACGTTCCCTTTTAAGTGATTGGTTTTTTGTTACATTAGCAGTGTTTGAAAAATATCTTAAGATTTTTTTTTATCACATAGCTCTTTGGAAAATGAGTGAATTTGCATTATAATTATAAAGTTGATGATAATTAAATGTGCTGAACTTCTTTTTACATTGTTTGTCCCAAGTGTAAAGTTTGTGTAAACTGTCCCAAGTTTCTGTAAACTCTTCAATTGATGGGTGGGTGTAGAAAGTACTTTTCCATTTTGGCCGGCACAGGTGATAAAGTAGACTATGCAAAGCCACCAAGTGTAAGTAAATTTAACTGTTTTTTTTTTATAGGTGATAAATATTTTTTTTAAAATAAAGTAAATAAATAAAACTTCCATGTTTACTTGCACTAGTTAAATGAAAAAGTACTATTTAAAATAATTTTTTGACCCACCTACTTACCTGAACGAACTCATATTCTTGTGAAAAAAAATATTCACTACTCCTTTATGGAGAAATTTAGCTGATTATCTTAATAGGTTCAGTAAATAGCTGTGTATTGAAGGTTTTATAGTTCTGTGTACTGGTAAAATATTTAAAACTTGAAAATAGCAAATGATTTTTATTCATTAGAAATTTATAAATAACTAAAATAAATTGTGAATAATAATGAAATTAAAGAATAATAATGAAATTATCGCTTGACCCACCTACTTACCTTAACGAACTCATATTCTTGTAAAAAAAAATATTCAATGCTATTTTATGGAGAAATTTAGCTAATTATCTTAATAGGTTCAGTAAATAGACATGTATTAAGGATTTTTCGGTTCTGTGTATTGATAAAATATGAAAAACTTGAAAATAGCAAATGACCTTTTTTTGTTCGAAACTGATAAATAATTAAAATAAAAACGTGGTATTCACCCTTTTAATTTCAAAGGTAGGCAAAGTAAGGGGATATGTAACCTTCAAAAACATCAGAAGAAATTCTAAATGAATTTAAAAAATTATCTGTTCAACAAAAAAAAAAAATTCTGATGTTGAAAATTGGTTTAATAGGATACTGCCAAATGGCGCCATTTGTTTCGTCTGTGACTCAAGGGTGCAGCATAATGAGGAATAATTTTTAATTTGAAATACAATAGCCATAAAAAAGCTTGTATTGCTTAAAAGGATGATTAAGCTGTTAAAAATTTCCATTAAATAGTTGAGAGTGGAATGTTTTATTTAAAATAAGTGCAGATTATTATTCTTAGATAAGGGAAATAGTTAAAGTAAAAAGAATTGATAGTGTAATTTTGGTCTAACGCTGGTGTTTAAATTTGTAATGGCTTTCCTATTTATTACATTATGTGTTCATTTCTGAAAAAAGTTGCCTTATTACCTGAAAATGCTGAATTTACCATATATTTTGTACATATTTGCAGCGAACTTTAATAAAACTTAACCTACTCAGTATTTCTTTTAACTTTTAGCAATCTCCTTGGGTGACATTTAAAGTTGGACTTTTCTCTGGTGCCTTTGTTATTCTTGTATGTGCTGTCATTATCTCAGGTTTGTCATTATATTTGCATTTCCCTTATTAAGTCTTTGATTGTATTAAACCTAGCATAAATGTTTTTAAATCCTTCTGTTTATTGCAGCCGTGTTCACTCATACTCCTGACAATTGGCGCATTGCTGTCCGACTTTACCGAGGCAGCCTCCTAATCATTTTGTTTATGTTCCTCATTGGAATAAATGTGTATGGCTGGCGTACTTCAGGTGTCAATCATGTGTTAATATTCGAATTAGATCCTAGAAATCATCTCTCCGAGCAGCATTTAATGGAAGTAAGTAGCAACATCATTGCCATTCTGCCATTGCAAATTAGGAGATTAAATTAATATCACTACACCATGTTTCATATCTTGCTTAAGCTTTTAATGGATTTTTTGTCAAAAGTTTCAATTCATAACATAACTGAATAATTTATAATGAAGGAACTTGATTACTCGTTGCTGGTTCTTTGTTAAACCCAATATTTGTCCCAAAATGTGTCTGTATTCATTTTTGTTTTGGGAACAAAGCTCATTAAACCTAGCATAACAAATTTCTATATAGTTTATTCATTTTCACTAATTTAAGTTAAATTTATTAAAACAATATTGAAGCTACTAACAACTTATGTCCATTACTTATACTTAATTTAAAAACTGTTAATTAGACTAACTCTATTGTTGATAAAAACATGTTAAGTGTCTATAAAGAACTTTTTTTGCTTTGTTCACTCTTTTGTAACATTTTTTAGGGCTTTTATAATTTTAGATGTTTGCAAAGTTTCCTTTACTCTATAATACTTTAATTTAATTCTATTCTATTTATGCTTCGATTAGTAATGTTAAAAAAATGGATTGAAAACTGCTATAATCTTGGAAAACCATTGAAACCATATACCATTTGAAGAAAAATATTTGATTTATACAGAATTTTATGCTAAGTGTTGACATAGTTCATTTCTGTTTTTTAATAGATAGCTGCTATTTCAAGTGTCATGTGGGCCTTGAGTGTGCTAGCATTCCTATTCAGTGAAGCATTATCAATACCTGCATATGCCAATCCTTTATTATTAGTTGTAGTTCTATTGGCATTTTTGTTTAATCCAACCAGAACTCTTCGTCATCATGCAAGATTTTGGTTGCTGAGAGTGCTGGTAAGTTTTTTATATGCATTTTTAACTTATAAGTTTTTACAATTAAAATGTTCTAATTATGGTAGTCACTAAAAATGTATAAAATTTACCTATGGTAATTTTTGTGTGTGCTATTTTTTGTGTTATTTTGTTATGATTATTAATTTGGCTCTAAAACAATCGTTTATTAATTGCTTAGAGTCGAAATTGAAAGCCTTGTTTAGTCATTTACTGCCACCTTCCTCTTTGAATTTATTTTGCCTCTTGTTTGATTATCTGTCTTATAATTTGCCTTTTTTTTAAACATCATTCACATTCAAGTGAAAGAAGACCAATTGCTTAAAATATTCAAAATCCTGGAAAGCACTTTGTTTACAATAGTTAAAAATCATGATGTAATTCTGAAGGCAGGAGAACAAGGTGTACCAATCTCATGTTATTATTCTGGTGGGAAAAAAAGAAAATTTCAAAATCTAGAAAAGATGTTGAATGACTTTCTGAAAATTATTTTATCAATTCAATATATTTACCCTGTTTTTTTATTAGGCTGCAGTTGGATCTACTTGATATTATGAGCATGGAAATTTCGAATCATGGATTTCATTAATCACTTTTCATCCTCCCCGTTACCATCATAAATCCGTTTTTTAATCTTTTTTGTTCTTTTACGGTTAATTCATTTGATTTTCTTGTAAGTTATACATTTATCTATTTTAGGCCAAGCATAGAAATTTTATAAAATTTAATATTTTCATTGAAATATGCATAAATTATGTTCGCTATGACAAAAAAAAGTTTTGTTCATTAAAAATAATTTAAGAAATAAAATGGTGCGTATATGCCCCACATTACCCAAATCAATAGACAAATCATTTAGTTGAACGCTAGTTTTTTTTATGAAATTTTATTTATTTTATTTAAAGAATTTGCATCTTTAATCTATCATAAAACCATGTGATTTATCTGTAATGGAATCATTATACATTTTCAGGACAAGACAGATACAAATTCAAGTTGTGAAATTAGAGTAATTTAAAAATTTATCAACAGAAAGTGTTTACTCCAATTGAATTACTAATATTTTATCGATTTCTTTAGAACCCTTATCAATAGCAGAAAAATAAAATTTGTGAAAAATATATATAACAAAGTTAATTAAAAAAGTACTTATTGAAATGGTGCATTTGCACACTTTTGGCTGGAAATGGGTTAAAGGCCTGCAAACAAGTCAGAAAATATTTTTATGTCTTCGAGTTTTATGTTTGAAAATCAACATTCCAAAATGCCTTGAAAAACACTTGTTCACATGCAACAAATTGTTAAGTAATATTCTTCCATTCCTATTGCTAATTCTATTTAATATTGTTATTAATTATTATTATAACATAATATTAATTATATATTTAATATTATTGTAATATTATTCTATTATTATTATTAATTCTTTCTATTATTATATTCTTCCTATATAGTTAAATGCAACTTTTGTTATCTATAATGATTCAATATAGTAAACAAAATAGTTTCATAAACATCTGATCTATTACATGGTGCGTAGCATTTTTTAAAAGCCCGATAAGGTGTTTTTTTTATTGGGTGTTTTTAAAAAGTGCTTAATTTTCCCTTTTCGAAAATGAGATTATTTTCTTTATCGTGTTGATTTACGCCACAGATTATGAAAAAGCCTGCTTTTCCCATTGTTCTATCAACATTTTCACAATTCATTCAACCACATTCTATTTCGGTGTACTGTCGCCCCATAGAGTATGAAAGCGCAAATCATTTTATGAATTACTTGCGAATCTGCATATGCGTCTACTGAGTTGGGTTCAGTGAGATTATTGCACTCTCATGTGCATTTTGTAAGATATTTTCAATTCTAGGCTTCATTTTCCACTTTCTGATATCGAGCAGAAAAATATCTTGATCATTTTATAATGGCTAATGTAATCAAGAAAAGAAGAAGCTAGAAGCTTTGTCAGAAACTAGTTGTTTTTTATGATCATGCAAAGTCTTTGAAAATTATTTTTCATTTTCTTAATGCATATGGTGCTTAAAAATATTTTTTGAGTGCTTAAAAGGTGCTTATTTTTTGTTGAAAGATTTGGCTATGCACCCTGTATTATAAATTACTATAAAACAATTTTATATTATTATTAACCATTGATACTAAACATATTCCTGTCATTGAACTTTTTTGCAGGGGCGAATCGTAGCTGCTCCTTTTTTTCATGTGGGATTTGCAGATTTCTGGCTGGCAGACCAACTGAACAGTCTTGTTCCTGTATTAGTAGATTTCCAGTATTTTGTATGTTTTTATGTCACAAGTGTGAACTGGGAAGTAAATACAGGTAGATATTTACAATTTACTTGTCATTAAAATAATCTTTAACTTTTCTGATGATTTATAAAAATCAGTTAGTGATATTTTAATAATAAATTTATGTTGTCTTCCTAGTGTTCCTATAATGATTTTAAAAAGTGTTTAATTGAAACTATGATTCAATAAATTTCTTTGACTATAAAATCTTCAATAGAAAATGGTATTAATTGATGGAAATTAATTAATGTAATTAAATGATTTACAGAAAATATGGTGGCTTTTCCAGCAATTTTCCACCAAATTATTATATTTTTCATGTAATCGTTATCATTAGTTGTAACATGTTTCCATTAACGGAGCTTATGTTCTGGAATCAGGTTAACAAATAACTTAAGAGATATCTTGAAAATCATGTCATTGAAAAAAAGTAAACCTTTTAAATCGCAAAGCAAAACTGACATACAAAGTAGTGACTTAAGTTCGCTTTAAAAATCATATGGATTTAACGACCAATTTAATTCGAGCTAGTGAGCTGTTTCGTGTTATTAAGTGTTTATTTTATTGTAATTAAATATATCTTAAAAATTAATTAATATACATGGATTATAAAACAAAAATATATGTTATGTATTACAATATTTTATATGTTTGATTTCATGAAACATAAACTATTTTTATGTATTAGTCAAAACAATTATTTACGTTTAATTTAGAACTAATTTTCATGGCATTGCATTTAGTTGTAAATAACAATAAACTTTTGATTTACTGTATTAAAGCCAATACTGCATCCAATGTGGAAATAAATATATTAAATTTGCATTACATAAAAATCACTATGCATAATTGTCATAGATGCATATTTAAATTATAAGATGTGATAATCATTTTCGACTTACATTTATTTCAGAGGATATTTGATGTTTTTAAGCTTAATTTTCCTTTCAGATTCCAATAAATGTGTGGATGATGTTGGATTAATATCAAGGCCTATTGTAGCTTGCTTACCAGCATGGTTTCGTTTTGCACAATGCCTCCGCCGTTACAGAGATACCAGAGAAGCTTTTCCTCACCTCGTAAATGCTGGAAAATACTCTACTACATTTTTTAATGTTGCATTTTCGTCTCTATATGTACTTACAAAGGGTGAGTGTATCAATATTTAGCTATAACTTCAAAAGTCATTGTCTCAAGAACATGTTTTTAAAGTTGATCATAAAAATTTCTATTCATTCAATTTATCTGATTTTTGTTCCTCTGTGTTCAGTAATAAAGTCAAACCTGTTAATCTCAAATCCCACGGGAAAGGCGAAAAATTTGAGATAAAGAGGTTTCAAGTTATACAGGTACTTTAAAAAATTAAATTTATTTAAGAAATTCGATTAAAGGTGCTTTAATTGTTTTTAATAGAAAAATACAGGCGTTTCTGCAAATTAATTATACCAAATCTATTTATTTACATAAAATTTTTTTAACATACCTTTAACACTGAAAATTATCTTTTTTAAAATTTTTGGCATCTAACCTTCTTTTCTTGTTATGTTGTTTGGGTATTTGTGCTTGATTGTAAGAAATATTAGAAACAGGGTTTTTTTCAGAAAAAAAAAAAAATTCCAGATAGACATGGAAAATACAATGATTTTAGATAGTAAATGAAAGGAAGTTTAGAAATTTTGAGATGTAGAGCTTTTCGAGATAAAAAGGTTTGAGATTAACAGGTTCAACTGTATCTTAGTCAACCCCTTAATGATCGGTTAATTTTCAAAAAAGCGGTCATAAATTTTTTCTATACACGTATTTGATTAGTGCTGACATCTAGTTTAAAATAAACTAACTATCTACAATTACCTTAAAAATATCCTGGTACTGCCATCTGGTGTGTGAAATGTTTTCCGGGCAAAAGAAATGAATTAGTTTTATTCTTATTGGTGCGTTACTCCTGAACACTCCAGCCTGGGAATATCACGAGAGCGAGAAGGAAGGGGTTAATTAATATTTAATGGTTCAGTTTTCCCTTTTTGGATTAAATTCTAATTTGCACTTTCAAACAAAAATTTAGAGAGAAAGATACTTGCTTGAAGTTACATGGTAGCTATTTTGTTAATATTTTTTTCTTATTAAAGTATTAAGTACTAGTTTTTATTATTATTAATCATATCTTGTTGGAACTATAGGTTTATTTGGCATTAGAAGTTGTCAACCTTCCTAAATAGAAGGCCCATGATGACAATGAATGGAGATTCACTTACGATAGTGCTTATTTTTATATATTATCAACTTGCTTCTACATCATTGTTTTTTTCTTTCTCATAGATGACTATGGCTCCACATGGGAAAATCCTTTCTTCTACCTCTGGATTGTATTTGGTTTCATTAGTTCCATTTATACATACATATGGGACATTAAAATGGATTGGGGATTGTTTGATTCTAATACTGGAGAAAATCCTTTTTTAAGAGAAGAAATAGTTTACTCATCTCCAGTGAGTATTTTGATAGTATTTTGAGAGTCAATAAAAGTTGTCATGTTGAAATATATTGATCAACTAATGAAATGATATGCAAAAGTTCAACAATTCTAATGTTATCTACATATGGTATTTTATTTTGTCATTATAACTTCAAAATATCGCACTTTTCAATTGCTAATCAACAACATTTGTCAGCAAATTAGTATTAAAAAAACGTCTTAAGTTGTGTCCTCGCAAAATTTATATTAAAATCCATAAATATAGTTTGACAAATTTTGAATGGAGAGCAAATGTATGAATCAATTGAAGTTTGAAAGTTGAATTTTGTCTTGAAGAAAAGCTTATAAATATGCATATTTCATTTTTGGTATGTCTTCCTTAAAACGAGTTGTTATAAGCTTTTCAAATTTAGTTTACACATTTTTTAAATATTTATTGAATTTTGATGATTGAATACAGAAAAAAAAATTTAAATGAATAACCATATTAAGATGTTGATATTTAAAAAAAAACAAAAAATTAGGAAGGGAAGAATTTTCTTCAATTAGTGTTTTTAAAGAAATAATTAAGATATATTGCATTTTTACTCTTAATATTTTATACCTATGTGCATTGTACTTTAAGTATTTAGCTTATGTTTTTCTAGTATTAAAAATATTTTTATAGAAGCATAAATGTATATCTTTTATCTAAAATATATTGTTTAGTTTCATTTAAAATATATTTTTAAAAAAATATAAATTATATATTTCGGACTTTTAATTTTAATAAATTTATAAACATTATGTTTAAAGGTAAATTCATTTACAAATATATTGGTAATTTTAGTAAAGTATAATAAATTTTCAACCTGATGTCTAATTTAGAAAAAAAAAAAAAGAAAGAAAGATTTAGAATATTGTTATGTTGTTTAAAAAAATTTATTTTTATGGTTATTTTATTTTTGAAAAATTACAAATGTGTATTATAATATAATGTGTATATTTTAAATGTATTATTTGAAAATTTAGATTATTTTTCTTTTTGTAGAACTACTATTATTTTGCTGTCATAGAAGACTTAATTTTGAGATTTGGTTGGACATTATCTGTTTCTTTGACTGAGATGGGTCTCATACATGTTGATATCATGTCAACTGTACTAGCACCTTTAGAAGTGTTCAGGTATAAATGCAAATTTCATTATACAAGTTATTTTACATGAGAAGATCATAATATATTTTTTTTATTATATTAGTGAGGCTGAATTTTCCAGCTGTATTATTAAATTGTTATTTAACAATAATTTAAAGCAGTTATTTCTCAGGGTTACAAACTAACAATTATCTCAAGCATAATTGTTAGCTTGTAATCTTTAAAATTTGACTAACCTAATCAGATTGTGACCTTAAGAAACAAATTGTTTCTTAAAATTTGTCTGACAATCATTTCAAGGAATTGTTTTTTAATGTTAATATCCCATACTCATCTCAAACTATTATTTCTAAATCTTCAAGGATTTGAGTGTTGCTAATTGTTATACTTCGTAAGTTTCCCAATTATAGTGTCTCACACTCAGAAAATAAGTTCCCTATGAGTTTTTACCTTACAACATTAAAATCATTCTATAAGGAATGGACTAACAGCTTAGGATTTATAATAATTTCTTAGAATTAAAAGATTGCAGTGCAAGCTTGAATTTAAGAGACTCTTAAAAGTGTCATTATATTATTATTTATAGAATCATATTTTGAAGTTTTAAAAGTTTAATAATGGCCTAATTTTTTTTTTATCCATTTGCCTTGCCCGCCCCCTAAAAAGTTGATGCATCACTGCTTTTGAGTAAATGTTACTGTCAATGTATTAAATGCCTAGGCATTCTATAGAACAAGAAATGTTATTTAGGCAAATTATGAAATATGAGAATTGTTATATGTTTCAGTCATTTATAGAATGCATGTTGGATTTTTAATGAGAAGTGCTTTTATAATTCAACTGTAAATGTGTTTACTCAATTATGAAATATGAAAATCTTAATATATTTATTATTTAATACATTTATAGAATGTTTGTCAGGTTTCCTGATTCATTTTATCGAATGCTTTGGCAAGATATGAAACAATTGGTTTATATTTTTCCAGTAAATTTTCGACTCTTTGTATTCTATAAAATGCTGAATACCAAAATCATATGTAATGGATGAAATTATAAAATGTATTAAAATTACCCTATAATTCCCACTAATTCCTCCAGTATGTCCTAAGGAACAAGACCTAGCCAGCAATATCATTATTTAATTGGAAAGAAGTCATATTTCCTATACTTTATAAATTAATTATTTTAAGGCCATTTTGATTCTTTTGCCTCTGCTCTGGTAATGAATTTTGAATAGGCTTATTTGCCCACTAGCTAGCTCATCCACTAACGCAACATACTGTTAGTTTCGAAAAAACTCACTTTTTTTGTTTTTCAACACTACTTTCTGGCAATCACAAAATGAGCTCTCATTTAGATACGGGGCTTATCTTCTGATTGCCAGACAGTAGCAAGTAACCATCGATTATAGAAGGAATCACATGGCTGGCCTACTACATGTGGCCACATTAGTAAATCACGTATAGTTCGTTCACCAGAAGTTAGCACTTGGCTCCACCTCTCCGGACAAAGAGTTTATTTCAGCGCAGGAAATAAGAGTAGAAACGTCTCCGCTCTTGAAATTAAGACAACCCTTAATGCGTGCCAAATGCAAACAGTGAATTCTTTTTCAGCAACTTACTTCCCTTTATCATCTGCTATTATACCTTTCGTTACTCTGGCTAATTAAATACATTGCAGCAAAATGTTTCAAAAAGGACAAGCTATTTACTCCAAAGAGAGAAATATCAAACTTATGAAATATTTAATGTTTAAAAAAAAATGCACATAAAGATTGTGAAATAAATATTTTTGTCATACAATTGCCAAACAGCAACCTTTTTCGAGATTGTTCACATCCTTCTCCCAAAAATAGCGAAATAGTATCGTCGGGTGCCACGTGATTAAGGAGGAGCCAAGTATCAACTCCCGGTAAATGAATTATATTAGGCCTACTACATGTGGTGGCATTAGTGAATTACATGGCAGGCCTACTACATCTGGCCACATTGGTAGATCACATTGTAGGCCAACTTGCTGAGGTCGCATTAGTGATGGTTGCAATTCAGTTTTGTTCTATGTTTTCATTGTATTGCATTTACACGCACATGTTAAAGATCCTTGTTTAGAAAGGAAAGTGATTAAATTTTGTGTATGATTTTATAAAATAAAAAAAAGACTATGTATATTAATGAGGTCATTGCAATGTAGGAGATTTGTATGGAACTTTTTCCGTCTGGAAAATGAGCACCTCAATAACTGTGGTAAATTTCGAGCAGTGCGTGACATATCTGTCGCGCCCCTCGATTCGAGTGACCAAACTTTGTTGATTTGCATGATGGATGAACCAGATGGTGTCATTAACAGAAGGAAAAAGGAGAGGAAGTATCCAAAGTAAGTATATTGAACCTTTAAAAGTTAGAGTTAATTTTTTTTTCAGTTCAGAAGAGGTATTATTATCACCAGAAAAAGAATTGCCATTTAGTATAACTTTTTCCTCAAATTTTTTTGTCATGGTCTTGCTCAGACACTAAATTAGATTGCGTTAGAAGGTTAAGCAATAGGCAATTCCATTCAAGATTATTTGTAAGAACTTGCATGGAATTTCATCTAATTTTAGATTTCGATAGCTTTTACACATTTTGTGTTTTCTCAAAATTTTACAATTCTTTTTATTATTTTCCTAAATTAAAAAGTCTTTCGTAAAGGTTTTTTTAATTCATTTTTGAGTTAATTTTGTGTAATTATTTTATTAAATATTACAGAGAAAGCATTTATGTTTTAATTGGTGGCTTCCTGATATGAAATTGCATTGAGACACAAAATTCTGAAATCAGGACTTGCTCATTTATGTTTTAGTGGGTATATGTACGACACAAAATTCAGAAATCTGTTTTCTCAGAATCTGAATTTTTTCAGAATCCTGATTAATCAGGACTTGGGCCTTTATGTTTCAATGGATGACTCTCTGATATGAAAAAGCATTGAGACACAAAATTCGGAGCTTAGTTTGTAATGTAGCCTTGTATTTCGAAGTGTCCCAAAATGTGTACATGAGTTAATTTTGTAATATAACACAGCTTCTTAATTAAAAATTGGGATTTTTTTATCGATTCCTGAAGTATAGGGTAATTTATAAAATTGTCTATCTGGTAAATGGCTTCCATGGTTTTGCTGGTACATGGCTAATTTTTTTTTAAATTTTCAATGACAGTTTTTGGATTAATGCAGCTGAATTTCATTTATACAGTGCTCAATTTCTTCTTTAAAGGAATGGGGGATTGTGGGATTATTGATGTAAAAATTAGTTGAAAAAGCTGCGGTGAATTTGGGCACCAAATTCTAGTCACTAAAATGAGAAATTGTGTAGTCAGGAAATAATACAACACTCCTCAAGTTATTGCTCATCACATAAAATATATTATTCTTTTATTTAGTATTCCGTAATCATAAACTATAAGTTGTGTTTTTATTGTGCTAATGATGCAAAATTCAAATTATAGAACACTCTGTGTAGAGCAAAATTCCAAAGAGCATAAAATCTGAATAATTGCAATTATTCAGATTTTATGTTATCTTGTCTAATCCTGATTAGTCCAGATAATTGGTGCTCTACTGTAGAAGCTTTAATGATTGGCCTTTTTTTGGCTGAACTCTGATAATAAATCTTCTTTAAAAAAGTTCAATAGCAATTGTTGACTTATTAACCAAAGAAAAATTAATTTTTTAAAAAATATTTAATGTGAAAAATGAAATTTTTTTATCTCTTCTCTTTATCAATAATTGTCTTGTGTCAGATGATTGAATTGGTAGGTCAAGAGTGGCATCTAATCTAGTTTCGAATTTCTTTTTCATTGCATGCATTAAAAATGAATAAAATTAGCTGAATTGCAGTTCAGAAGTAAACTACTTGAAAACATTGAAACGGTTATCATATTTGTGTATTGTCGAATTTAGCTATTTTTAAATCATATATTAGATCATAAAATATTTATGTCTATCCTATGCATAATTAATTCAATATATTGTTATTAGATAATAGGCATACTTTTTATTTAAAAAAAATGGGTTGCTATTTCTTATTTCGTTGGCATATTACTCAAATAATGCAGGGTGCGTAGTATTTTTAAAAAGTGCTTAAGGGTGCTTATTTTTGATTTACGTTTTTTAAAACCCCTTAAAGATGCATTTTTTGCTTGTAAGAATGCAGAAGTAAAAAGTGCTTAATTTTCTTTCTTTTAAAAAGAGACTTTTTCTTTGCCTTGTGGATTGTCGTTCTAAATTACAAAAAATGCATGATTTTCACAATTTTCTCAGCAATATTTATCAGAAACTAGTTGTTTTATCATGATTATGTAAATTTTTTAAGAATGTTTTTGAAGTTTATTGATTTTATCTTTACAAATTAAGAACTTTAAACGGTAAGAATTTTTTTTTTATTACTGCACAGAATCCTAATTATTATTATAACTTTTTTTTTTTGAAAGTGATTAAAAATATTTTTTGAGTGCTTAAAAATGACTTAAAAGGTGCTTATTTTTGTTGAAAAATCTGACTTAGCACCCTCTAATATTTAAAAAAGCAACCAAAATTAAAGGAATAATGAACTATTGTTTGGATATAAATGTAATTAAATAAGTGGTTTAAAAAAATTCGAATTCTTGAAACTCCTATGACCTAGACATGGTGCGTAGCATTTTTAAAAAGTGCTTATTTTCGATTTTAGTTTTTTAAAAGCCCCTCAAGGTGCTTTTTTCATGGGATGTTTTTAAAAAGTTTTTAATTTGCCCTTTTTGAAAATGAGATTTTTTTTCTTTATGTCGATTTTCGCTGCTTATTATGCAAAAGCGTGGTTGTCACATTGTTCTATTTAACGTTTTCCCAATTCGTTCAACCACAATCCATTTCGCCGTACCGTCGGTCCGCAGCATATGAAAGCGCCAATCTTGTTACATGTTTGATGAAACACCTGCAAGTCCGCATGTGCATCTACTGAGCTTCAGTGATATTCCTGCACTCTCATGAGCAATTCTGCTGCATCTTGCAAGATATTCTCAATTTCAGGCTTCATTTTCCACCCTCTAAAATTGAACCGCAAAATCTCTCTATCTTTTTATGGTGGATAATATAATTAAGAAAATAGTTTTTTGTCAGAAACTACTTATTTTATCATGATCGTGTAAAGTCTTTGAAAATTATTTTGCATTTTGTAATGCATATAGTGTTAAAAAATATTTTTTGAGTGCTTAAAAAGCACTTAAAAGGTGCTTATTTTTTGTTGAGAGATTTGGCTACGCACCCTGCTAGAACCCTCTTTGGAAACAGTTGCTTTAGTGTATTTATTTTAGTTAATACAAATATTTATTTATTTCATACTAATTTTGCTGATATTTTTTATTTAGCCGAAGGAAAAAGTCGGACACTAGAGTATTAATAGACGAGATTGAAACCGATGATCCAGATATGTAAATACTTCCTACGGATGAATGCAATTATTTTTTCATGTATGCAAGAATGCTTTCATTTCTGTGCAAGAAGAAATGCAGCTTGTATCCAAAGATATATTTTATACTTTTGGTCACTAGGTAGTTTTCAGTTCTGCAGCACATATAGGTAAATTAGTGGAATAGGTAGTCTTTATTCAATGGTATTAAAATTGAAATGTACTACACAGGTTATTTCTAAAAATATTTGTATACTCATCAGACTTATTAATCAAGGTCCATGTAATTTTAGTAGGTGATATTTCACCAATCAAATTTTATATTATATTTTCTGTCACATTATTATTGTTTCAGTATTAAATTTTTTTTTGCAACAAATATTTTTGTGCCTTTTGAACAATGCAGATAAAAGAGTTAACATTTCTGTTTTAACAGTTTGGTCTTAAATTTTGAAGGAAGTTGTGTAGTATGTATTGTTTTGTTTGTCATTTTTTTTTACCAGGGTGATATTTAAGTTTCGTTTGGGGTTAATAATTAAAGGCCAGGCTGCCACTGAAAATGTGTTTGTTCATAGAAATATATATCATCAATTTTATTATTCTATATACGGAATTGACTGAGTAGCTATAGGTTACTGTATAAGAATTTCATAATTATGCCAAAGTTTTTTCAAAGTCATTAAAAGTTAATAGAAATCTATTTTTAGTAATATGTTTTTTGGAAATTTGTTTTCTGAGATTAAGAATGAGGGAAAGAATTTTTTTTTTTTCAATATGATTTATAATAATTAGCTTTAAGGGAGAACACCTTGTTCAAATTTCCTCTCTCTGTATATATATATATAGTTGTGTCCTCGCAAAATTTATATTAAAATCCATAAATATAGTTTGACAAATTTTGAATGGAGAGCAAATGTATGAATCAATTGAAGTTTGAAAGTTGAATTTTGTCTTGAAGAAAAGCTTATAAATATGCATATTTCATTTTTGGTATGTCTTCCTTAAAACGAGTTGTTATAAGCTTTTCAAATTTAGTTTACACATTTTTTAAATATTTATTGAATTTTGATGATTGAATACAGAAAAAAAAATTTAAATGAATAACCATATTAAGATGTTGATATTTAAAAAAAAACAAAAAATTAGGAAGGGAAGAATTTTCTTCAATTAGTGTTTTTAAAGAAATAATTAAGATATATTGCATTTTTACTCTTAATATTTTATACCTATGTGCATTGTACTTTAAGTATTTAGCTTATGTTTTTCTAGTATTAAAAATATTTTTATAGAAGCATAAATGTATATCTTTTATCTAAAATATATTGTTTAGTTTCATTTAAAATATATTTTTAAAAAAATATAAATTATATATTTCGGACTTTTAATTTTAATAAATTTATAAACATTATGTTTAAAGGTANGTGTCACCCGTTTTTCTGACGAAGCTCTCTCCCTCCTACAATACCCCTTCACCCATTTCTACTGCTCTAATTTCCCCTAAAAGTGGCTTTTTTTCTCAGAAAGAACGAAAGAATATTACATACAAAAGAGATAAAAAAGAAACATTTTGTTATCTCACATTTAGGCTCGATGGGGAGTCGTTTTCCAACGATGGAAAAATCGGAATAGAACTATCAACTATTAAAAGAGGAAAAATTATCGTTGTAGACATGTTTAACTGAAAAGTGGTTATCGCTATAAACAGGTTAAAAATACATTGAGTAAATAGGAATTTCACCGGGACCTCAAGGAAATATCGCTATAGACAGGTTTATCGTTACAGACAGTATCGTTATACGCAGGTTTCACTGTAGTAACAAAAAAAGTGTTGACTTATATTTTTGGTTACTCTTCGTCTTGCGTACAAAAAATATAGGGATAGCCTTTATTTAGGGATGGGAAACTGAGATAGTAGAAGCAAACCAGAAAAAGTGCTTATGGCTACATTCCACTTAATAAATGGTTTTAAAAATCGGTTTATGTATTTTATGTAGAAATTTCAAAATTACCCAAAAATAAAGAAAAAAAAATCAGTTGAAGACAGAAAAAAGTTCATAATATCCAATTTCCTCTCTTTTGGTTCAATATTTGCACAAAAAAATATTATATGTGTATAGCAAGGCATGGGGGCAAACATTTTGTTTACTATATCCGGGAGTTCACTATAAGCCATGTTCACTAAAGCTGGGTTTAACTGTATATATATATTAACATATATCAAATCTCATTGAACTGTATTTATATCCAAGAATATTTTCTGTAAAGCATGATCTGAAACTCACGTAACTGACAATTACAGTTTATCTGGAATAGAGGTGGCATCTATATACTGGATTTCAAACTTTAAATGGTGTTTTCTTAAAGCAGCATATTTCATCCTGACAGATGAATGATTTATTTCCAAAACTCTACTTTTTAAATTTTAATATTGAAGTTCTTTATTAGCTCTGAACTGTATTTGAAAGAAATTTCTTTATTAATATGTATCAACACCACTGAATTAAATGATTTTTTAGCTTTTGAATAGAAAATAATTTATTTCAGAAATATTTATTTATTCAAATTATTACTTATTTATTATTTGGTTTTGATTTATGGTGTTAGTTGATTTGGAAATTTGGCTTTCCTTTAGTTCCATAAAGTTTATTTGATTCTATTTACTTTAAATGTTAAGAATAAGGAAAAAATTGAACTAACGAAGTTCATGATATTTTAGATTTTATTATAACATCTTGTTTAATGTTATTTATATTGCTCAAAAAATACTTTTTTTAATCGTATTTTTTTTAATGTGTTTCACTTGCAACTTAAATTACATTAAATATATAAGAGCTGTACATTTAATTTATAAATTCTGGTAAAATTAAGAATTTATTGAGTTCACCTTTTAAACATATTTTTAATCCAAAGCACATTTATTTTATCAATAAGTAAAATACGTAGAATTTCTGTTATTGATTTTTTTTTATATATATAGTTCAAAACAAATTCTAATATAAATATATATGTTTCAATTAATTATTTTATTTCCAAATTTAAACTAAATTTCTCTAGACAGTAATTGCATTTGGTGTTTTCCCTTAGAGTTTTAAGGCAGAAGTTTTGGAAAATATTTGTTTCAGACATTAAAAGTTTTTTTTCCAAGTTTTGTAAATGAGTTTTAACTTATGTTAAAGAATTTTCTATTGTCTTATTAGAAGCATACATAATCAAGTTGTATTTTTATTTTTTTATTAACATTATTAGTGTTTCTAATCGTATTTAAACTCATATTAGTGTACTTAGTAATGTTTTTATTTAAACTATGTGGCCCCTAACCTGTGAGAAGTCATGGAATTTTATAAGTCTGGAAAAGTCAAGAGAATTCAATTAAAATAACCAAAAAGTAAAGAAAAATTAATTAGTTAAAGTATCTAAAAGTCCAATATTTTTTTAGTCTTGTATATTTTATGCATAAGAGTAAGGTATAGTTGAAATATTAATTATAAAATGTATGTCACTTTTTACAAAAATTAGGAAAATTCTATAAAATCTGTTGGGGGAAAATCTGAGAAAATTTAGTTGATTGCTCCTTCAATTCATATTAGTGGCACATTATCTAGAGAGGGGATTAGTGGATGAAAGTTATAAGTGAAATTTAAAGAAAAAAAATTAGTTTTTTAAAGAAAAACTTTTTTTTTTGAATAATACAGCATTTATTTATTTTACAAATTCATTAAATTTCATGAAGGTACTTAGTAGCAATCTATGAGTGTTTTGATACATTTTGCCAATTGAAAGATTGCAAACAATAAATAAGGTCTAGGCATAATTTTTTTCTTATAAGCTAATTTACTTGAATTCCTTTTAAAACCGTTACCCTCTTTGTTCTTCAATTATTCTGTTATGTTTTTATATAGCATTTATTATGATAAAACTTTCATTTGCTTCATTAAATGTGCATTTATATACCAAAATGATTTTGTCTCCACCGTTTTTTTGTGTGAAAGTCTTTATCAATAGTATCCTTTGTAGTATTTTTTGATAATTCTATTTGATATGCAGAAAACATTTGTTTTATTATTATTATTATATGTAAAATTTATTTTTACAATTTTAATATAGCTCATAAAAATTTTAGTGTTATTCGCTGTATCTTTTCTGAAATGTTTGCTAAAAATAATTTACAATAAATTGTAACCCTTACTAAAAGGATTTGATTGAATCTGAAAGACATATATTCTCTTAAGTCTTATAGTTTTTTTAAACTTATTTTCTTTTATTATCACAGCTTTTGTTTCGTAGTAAAATCTTAAATTTTCTGTCTAGAAAGATATAATCATTAAAATGCAACAATAAATAATCTGATCTTAAAGTGTATTACATTATGGTTACTGAGAGTTTGCCAATAAAGTAATTTCAAATGAATTTTTTTTTTTTTTTTTTGAGACGGAGTCTCGNCGTATAGAGTTCAAAATACTTTTAGCTCTTTATGAATATAATAAATTTTAAAAATCAGCAATTTTCATCTTTTTCAAATTTGTTTTGGCAATAACTATTATGGTATCAGTACAAGCTAGGTCGCATTAAAATCATGAAGTGTAGCATTTAAATCAAATTTTTTCATTTTGTTAAAGGAAAATGGTGATTTTCTTTACTATTTACTTAAAGATTGATTTGCTTTTAAAGTAATACTATTTTCAATTAGCATTATTTTTAATATATCTAGTTGGCTTCAATGCATAATCGAACATTATGTACATTAATATTATAGTAATTTATTTTAATATGCATCATATTGTATGACTGGTGGTTGAATTTTTTTTTTATTATCAGAATTACATACTTGACTGATATACTGACTTATATTTTATCACTGATGTAATAATTAATATTTTAATGACTGATAATTACTTATCTAAAATAATTGATAGTAATTATCTTTGAGTGATACAGTGAGTGCTAAAAATTCTTGTTCATGAAACAATATTAATTTTCCTTTTTAGAGCCTTATTATTTATTTCTAATACACAGTATTAAATTTTTACTTGCTATAATTTTTTATAGTAATTTTTTTGTGAATATGTTAATTACTTTTTGTGACTGGTTGTTTATATTTCCATACATTCTACTATTTAATATTATTTATTTCTGTATTTATTGTGGTTTTTAACTTAACTTATAATTATGTATTTTTTTAATTCTCATATATTAGTGTATTATTTTCCGTTATTAGTTGGATTTATTTATCGACCTTTTTTAACTTATCTGTCCAATCGTAATGACAATGATATACCCGTCTGCTTCATAACTTTCAATTCCTATTGAAAGTTTGATAATCATTAATTTTTTACGAATTGTTTCCTTAAATATTTTTATTCATTGAACTATCTTTCAAGATTTATTAAGTTTAATGATCAAATGTTAACTGCAATAAGATAGAAACTCAGAAATGTGCTGGTTGTTTGATGAATTTATTTGGTTGAGCCCATGAAAATTTAATTGCAGAAAAAATTATTTCTGTTATTTACATTACCCAATTACCTGGGTATCTAATGTAATGAACTAAAAACTAACTAAATTATAAATAAAATTTGGATTATAGATTTTTTATTGACAATATTTTAAAACAGATATTAATTAAATACCATTAAATTTGTTCAAACAGAAAACCATTTTGGTTTTAATTGAGTTTTTTTTTTTTGTAAACTAATGTTAACACAT